TCCAAACAAAGCTTGTCAAGAAACCGAAGAACAATCATTTTCTGTTGAAAATTAGGCTGAGCCACATTCTCCACAACTCTAAGAACAATCATTGGGAAAAAAACTCCAATTTCCGCCTTTAATCCAGCGCGAAATCTTGCAACCAGACTGATGAAAATAGAGCAAGAAAGCTGGAAGATAATCATAAGGGTAGAAGCACTATTCTTCAACAACGACAAACACAAAAACTGTTTGATATCACCTAAAAACCTGTTTAGCAAAGATGGAAATTCATCAGAAGAAGAAAATATCTGAATTTCTTGATACGGTGAATTGACCAAAAAAAGCTAAAGAGGTATTTAACGTACTTCTCGCTTGTCCTAAAGACAGCTCCAGCATTTTCCAACAAGATCTTTAACAGCTCAAGAGCCAGAATCTTCCCTCTCATCGACTGCGGATCTGTCGAAGACTCCTTAGGAGGCGCCTTCATGGAGAGCTTACAAAGCGCCCTGAAAACCAAGCAGGCATCTCTCCTCAGCTTATTCTCTATCTGAACTTCTAAATCATCATCTCTCTCCGCGTCTACCTCTGCAAGCTCCCCCTTCCTTCCCTCTAGAGCTGACTTGTACATACTGATCTCCCAATACTTAGCGTCCAACATGTCCTTATCAGTGGAGTCCAACAAATCCGTAGGATTCGTAGTCTCCACTGTGGTAGTCCTATATGCCCCATCCTGGCCTCCGGATCCTGATCCTAGCATTGTCGGGTTCAAGACTCCGTCTATATCTAGCATGATTTTGGTGATGAAACCCTGAACAAACTGCGTCATTGTCCCATCCGCATCTGATTTCTCGATCGGCTCCATGAGCTCAGCCACTACGATCGGCTGAATTGGAACCGTTGACGAATCCGCCTCCATTCTACGGAAAACAATCACCAGAATCTGGATCAGCGAAGCCTTGGCAGTCGTCTGATTCACCACGTTTTTGCTTCCCAAGTAAATGTCGTAGCAAGTACGTACAACTAGGAGCAAGCATTTGCCATGGATCCGCAGCGAGATAGAGTTAATGGCAGATAACAAAGTCTTCAACACAGGCAATTCAATGGATTCATCTCCCAAATCATGGCATTTGCAAACAGACTCGATCAATTTAAAAAGGAGAAGAGACTCCGCTCCACCGGACGGGTCCGATTCACCACGAATGTAGCCATGCGCGATAAGTTTCTGAATGCAGTCAATAGCAGGTTCGACGATCTTAGCCAGGCCTGTGCCACAGGCACTGATCAGAGGGCTGAAGATGAATTCAGAATCGGCGAGCGAGTACTCGATTGAACCACCATCGTTAAGTGGACCGGGAACAGAGGAATCAGACTCGGATTCAGTAACAGCAGAGGACGACGGAAGATATGATTTCTGCAGCGAATTTAGCCGCTCGATAACAGCTTTGCATTCGTTAGCGAGCTTCGAGTGTTTCCGCCACGAAGCGTTCTTGACAATCTTCTCTAAAGCAGGAGTTACAACTCGACTCAATCGGGAATCAGCTTCCGAGGAAGCCATTCCCAATTTTCACGGCGAGCTCAGCGGCTCACAGATCTAGAACAGTATTCCAACAGAGACGAAACAGCCTCTTCACCAGAGCTCTGAGTCCGATCCGAGCTGGGTCAACGAGTGTGACTCAAACCATTGCAAACTCAAAAAGGAAACTGCAGGGTACAGAGCAAAGAGGTTAGATGAGACGAAACTTCAGATCTTCTCTCTTCTCTCTTTTTTTTTTTTTTTGTAAAAAATAAAATAAAATAATGTGTGTGTGTGTTCAGGTCAGATCTCAGATGCGAATGGGGAACAGACGAAGGGGGCTTTAAATGGGAAAGAGCCCATTGGGTTCGAAGGGCCCATTGGGTTCGAAGGGCTCAAGTTTTTTTCTTTTAGTGACTGATTTAAATTATCGAACAAACCTTATAAAATCGACACTTCTCTCATCTTCTTCCCCTTAAGCAAAACTTTGGATCAAGCAATCAACAATGGCGGATCTCTCTCTTCCTCCCGGTTCTTACTTCCTCGGATTCGACAGCTCTACCCAGTACGTCTCCCTTCCTTAACTATTACTGATTTGATCATAAATTCGTGTTCGATCATTTTGAAATTGGTTACTTTGATCGATCTCAATCGTGATACCTTATCTCTTGTTTTGTTTTGCCATTTTCAAAAGGTCTTTGAAAGCTACTGTGTTGGACTCAGACCTAAACATTGTCAAAACCGAACTCGTTCATTTCGATTCTGATCTTCCTCACTACAAAACCAAAGATGGGGTTTACAGAGACGCTACTGTCAACGGTAGAATTGTGTCTCCAACTCTCATGTGGGTGGAGGCACTTGATCTCATTCTCAAGAAGCTCTCTGACTCCAATTTCGATTTCGGTAAGGTCATTGCTCTTTCCGGTAGCGGGCAGCAACACGGTAGTGTGTATTGGTCAAAAGGTAGTTCTGAGGTGTTGAGATCTTTGGATTCAAAGAGATCATTGAAGGAACAGCTCGAAAACGCGTTTTCTGTTAAGGAATCTCCTATATGGATGGATAGTAGTACCACAGTGCAGTGTAAAGAGATTGAGAATGCTGTTGGAGGAGCTATGGAACTGTCTCAGATCACAGGGTCTCGTGCTTATGAGCGGTTCACTGGTCCGCAGATACGGAAGCTTTTTACTACCCAGGGGGAAACGTATAAGAGCACGGAGCGGATTTCGCTTGTTAGCTCCTTTATGGCGTCTTTGTTGATAGGAGATTATGCTTCCATTGATGAAACTGATGGAGCTGGGATGAATTTGATGGATATAAAGAAACGATGTTGGTCTAAAGCTGCTTTAGAGGTTTGTTGTGATCCTACTTTGAGGGTATATAGTTAGATAGCAGAAGATGGCTGTTTCCTAATAGGCTTCATTTGCAGGCTACAGCAACAGGTTTGGAGGAAAAACTTGGAAAGTTAGCTCCAGCTTATGCTACTGCTGGTTCCATTTCTCAGTATTTTGTTGAGAGGTTAGTATCATTGATTGTGATCAGGATTGTTAATGTCTTTAACCGGATTTATAAACATGTTAAAAAGAAGATGATTGAATTGGTAGTGATACCCACTGTGCATGATAATACTCAGAAGTTTCCATAAGCATTTCAAACAAAACTTTAAGTTTTTTTGCAGTTTCACATGTTAGATTCAGAGTTTTTTTTTGGTTTTGTTGCAGGTTCGGTTTTGAAAAGAACTGCGTGGTTGTGCAGTGGTCAGGAGATAATCCTAATAGCTTGGCAGGTAAATATTCAACAACAGAAGCCTAAGGAGAAGTTCCTATACAGTTTCACACTTTATATATATAGCTTTTGCGTAGCAACTGCAACAATTATGATGAAATGCAAGTGTATCTTGCGTCTGAATTCTGTCTGAGTTTGTATATGAAGTATAAGGTGTTGATGAGGTTATACGATGTTCTGCAGGTCTAACTCTAAGTACTCCTGGAGATCTGGCGATCAGTCTTGGGACCAGTGACACGGCAAGGCTCTTGATTCTTGTCGAGCTTTCTAGTTAATTAATCCAGAAACAGATTAGTATTCTTACCATTTCAGATGTCGAACATTGTAAACTCTTACAGGTGTTTGGGATTACCAAAGAACATCAACCCAGTCTTGAGGGCCATGTATTACCTAATCCTGTGGACCCTGAGAGTTATATGGTAATGTTGGTTTACAAGAATGCTTCTCTCACCCGTGAAGGTAATCATGATTGCAAACTCCGACTCTTTATCTGTGATTATGCTTTGTTTGATCCTCTGAGACAAGTAAGAATATGTGACTTTTCGTTTCAGAAATTCGTGATCGTTGTGCTGAGGGATCTTGGGATGTTTTTAATAAGCATTTGCAGCAAACACAGCCACTAAATAGTAAGTTGTTATCATAATCCTCCAGGTGTCCATCTATGATATGTTCAGGTCCTTTGTTTACTAAATACACTACTGGCTCTATTAGATGGGAAACTCGGCTTCTACTACACTGAAAATGAAATTCTCCCCCCACTTCCTGGTATGTTCTTGTGTTTTTCTTCTTTCCAATGCCATTGCTCTCGGCAAAATGCTATAAGCTTCCCTTACTAATGTTTTGTACCAATGATTAGTTGGCTCCCATCGTTACATTCTTGAGAACTTCTCTGGTGAGTCTCTTGATGGTGTGAAAGAACGAGAGGTCGATGAGTTCGACCCTCCCTCAGAGGTAAGCAAGTGCACACACACATACACTGTTCTATGCAGTCACCCAGTTACATAGTTTGTGACTTATCATCCCAATAAACTGTTTCCTGTCAGGTAAGGGCATTGATAGAAGGTCAGTTTCTTTCAAAACGGGCTCATACTGAGAGGTTTGGTATGCCTTCCCCTCCGATCCGAATAATAGCCACAGGAGGTGCATCCGCTAATGAGAACATCTTGAGTTTAATCTCAGCAATCTTTGGATGTGATGTATATACTGTGCAAAGACCTGGTAACACTCGAAACATACAAAAAAAGTTGCAGCTCCTTGTATACTTAACATGATCTCCTTAAGGATTAAACAAAGCGCTTGATTGTTTGTTTGTTTGTGTGTGCAACAGATTCAGCATCACTCGGAGCAGCACTGAGAGCTGCTCATGGCTGGCTCTGCAAGAAAAAAGGAAGCTTTGTGCCCATCTCAAACCTCTACGAAGGGAAGCTGGAGAAGACATCTCTCAACTGCAAGCTCAAGGTAAAAGCAGGAGAAGCAAACATCGCTTCCACCTACGGTCTGTTGATGACTAAGAGGATGGAAATAGAGAATAAGCTCGTGGAGAAGTTAGGCCACTTCTGATAAATAAAAACTTCCTAAGTACTCTGCTTTTAGAATAGATTGAATAAATGATTAGATCTACTAAACAAACACAAATTTGCTTGTTACTTCAGAATAAAGATTTGGCCCTAATTTGGATTCTTTGAGAAACTTATAAATGAGACACACACAAACACAAACAAAACACAGAAGAGGCCATAATTTTATATAGTCTTCTTGAAGAGGAACAAAAGAATGATTTGCAAAGTAGTAAAAAAAGATTTCACATAAACATAAACATCACCAACGAATCGTATCTATCATCATCTTCTTCTTCTTCCACATTCGAAACCCCAAAAGAAGACAAAATCCAGAAAGAGAAAAAACTTTAAAAAAATTGTGTTTTGGTTATAAAAATCTAATTTGATATAGTAGAATAAGTAGATTTAATATATTTGCCTGGCTCCAACCTGTCTGCCTTATGTCCCCCCCAATCTCTCTCTGTTCCTGTCTCTGTCTCAGTCTCAGTCACTGTTCGAATACATCAATGTCGGGGGTGGTCTTACAGAGAAAGAGTGGCAAGTCCGGTTTATAATACCGCTCGCCGCCGCCGATAATGAACTACGGCGACGGCGGCGGTGAAAAATCGCAACTTTTTTCTCAGTTTTTCTTCGGTTCGATTGAAAAAATAGAAAAATGGGTATTGATTGATGGACACGATCGATGAAAGGGTTAAAAAGCAACGGCTAAAAGAAGAGAAGAGAGAAAGGGCAAAAGGTTGTGTAAGCTGAGAAGCCATTTTCCAAAGTTGCTAACTTTATTTTTTTTTTTTTGCTTTCCGGTTCGAGACAACCGTTTTGTCTTTCCCCAAAGGAAATAAAAAAAAAACGAAAAAATTACATATTTCAAAAATTGTAGTCTCTTATTGTATATAGCAAAATTATTTAATGCCAACTTTAATTATTTATCTGTATCAGTCTGAAATTAGAATTAATTACTCTAGTCTCTAGTCTCAAGTCTCACAACTTGAAGAAAAAAACAAACCTAGTCTGAACTCTGAAGTCACTAGTCATAAATTTTATTAACAATTTTGGATGGTCCTTGATACCGTTAGAAATGGTAACTAGAATGGAATTGATGTTTGAAGATGGGTATAGGTGTTAAAAGGATAGTTTAGGTTAAAGCAATGGGAACCATGGTGAGGGTTTTTTTTATGTGAATTTTAAGTGATGCAACTAAAATTTATGAAAGGGCTTTTTCGGGAATTGATGTTAAATTTGACGATTTCTTGACGTCGAATGGAAAAAATATCGATTCGCTATTTATTTATGTCGATTCTTGATTGTGAATGATATACATGTTACCAAATATACAGAGAAGGAGAATTTGATGAACAATAAGAAGAATTGAATTATGTTAAATGACAAGGCAGGACATCAACCAAACCATTCAACCAACACTTAACTAAACATTCTTATTGGAGCAACAATATTTAAAACCCTAACCATCAAGTGTACCTATCTCAAATTCGCAGACTTAGGATAATTAATGATAACAAGTTAGAATTTATGCTCCAACAAGTGCTAGAAGGACAACCCAAGAGTAATTTGGACATTAGAAAATAACATACTTTTTTATAACTGATTTTAATTGGTCAAACTTTATAAGTACTCAGATATTGATTTTTTTAACACTAGTCACCATCTACAGAAAAAAAAAAAAATTATGGTTGATCAAAGGGATTTGCAAGGGATATGTATATACATACTTCATTGGTTGTAAATTTCCCAACATCAAATCACATTACTTATGAAAGTCACAATGATATTGACTTAACTAGGTCATTAGGTTGGAATCATACCTCGTAAATATTGTGAGTTACCTCTCTAGGTGATTGATTATATGCTCTTTGCATGGCTGATGCAAATTCTTATATTTTCCAAGTTAAACACCAAAAAGAAACTCTTTCATAAGAGGTAATTCTTATCATTTACTTTGATTGTTACAAACTCTAAGTCTCTAACTAGAAAAGTATATCATATACTTCTTTATCAGAAAGATTCATAGTGATCAAAGTAGTTCTTATGCCATAAACGAATCTTGGTCATTATTTATTCCTCATCGGTTTAATTAGTTATTACATCTATATAAATTAGAGGCCAAAACATGTATACCATATTGGTTTGTAAGAACTCAAAATAAGTTATATTACACTAATGGATATGAACCACCAAGAATCTCATTTTGAGTTTTGATGAATCTGTCTTCTTTTTTTCTTCTTCTATGAAGCTTATTCCAATTTCAAGAATTCTGAAGTCATCATCTCTTGATATTCCATTGAAATTAACCAAGGTTCGTTCTTGTCTTTATATATACCGTTTCTTTTGTACTCATTGATGGAGTGCCCACTAATTTCATAGAAAGATATAAAGAAAAAAGTGATGGAGAAGACTTTTCAATTTTTATGAGTTGCTTCAACGAATCGTATTCGTCTTTGCTGTGGACCCTTGAAGCAACTTAGTAGAATCATATACTCACACACATCGATTCATTTCCGAGAATCCAAATCAATGATCAGCTATTCAAGTACAATAATGATTTAATCCGTTTAAAAACTTTTTTTTTTGTTTTTCTCACTAAGGTTTTGTCAACATTAATACTTGTGGTTTACTTCAATTAGCATGACTAAAAATATTTCCTTTTCGTTAGTATTTTGTATACTAAACGAAATAAAATATCCGATCATATTGAGATTCTAAGATATGCTATAAAGGGTGAATTTGCAGGAATCTTGGACAAAAATGGTCACACTACTCTCCAACTTGAAGAATGAGACTAATTTAGAATGGTCACACTCCTCTTAAAATCTTTCATCACTTATTTCATATATATATATATTTCTTATTCATATCTATATTCACTGTCATCAAAAATATTACATGAATTGTTCGTTGGGAAACAAAAAAAAATGTCTTTTGACATTTTTGACATAGAAACTAATTTTATTTTCCGAAAATAAAATTATAATTATCTTCTTAACAAAACTTAATGGTTAGCATATTTTTTTTATTGTATGAATCAGTGAGAAAATATTTAACATTACATTAAAATATAAATCCATATTTATTAACTAGAATCATTGTTTGATTGATTAAAAATTGATATAACTCGTATATTTCACTATCATAATTAATCTTCAAACCATGCATTTCAAATATTATATAAATGAAAAGCATGAGAGAATATAAAAATGAGTCTCGTGCTTTTTCTCCTTTGTCCCTTTGTTGATATATAGAGACAAATATGACGATGCGACTCATCGATCGATCATTACGTATTCGGATCATACTGATGAATATATATAGATAACACACACACAGTCACACACACACATGCATGTATAGCCTATTTGTATATTACTTTTAGCCTATTTTAGGTTTATAAAAATGAAAATCAAGAATCCACTTCCATGCCATGCAATCGAAAAAAAGAAGTTCCACTCACTGATGAATAAAGAAGAATGACGTATTAAATATAAGTCCACAAGAAAAAATATTAAAATAAAGCTTGTGAATTATCATGATTCATTAGTGGGTGTACAACATAGACACATTCAGATTCTATGCGTTACATTGAAGCAGCTATTAGATTCTAATATGAATGATGATCATCGATCCACATATATATAGTATGATCTTGCTTATGTTGATTAGAAAATTAGATTTGCGAAATTAGAAATAACCAAAGTCTTAAAAAGGATATATGTTAAAATACATGTAGAAGTATTAAAAGACTATATATATAAGCAGTTTCTTCTATGATATATATTTAAATACAGGATATCTTTAGAAGTTATATGATCTCTGATGCTAACACCTCTTCATCGAGAAAGCATGAGACTAGAGTCTTGTTTGTGTGAGTTGATCTGATGATAGTACTAAGTCCTTAATCTTGGTTGTTGTTGATTTAGAGGTCATATGATCAGGTCCTCCTTGAGGTGCTGCGTCAATCAGAAGCTGGACGACTTCGTTCATGGTAGGACGGATTGTTGGAGTTCTGCTGGTACAACGGATAGCTACACGCAAGGCGTTGATCATATCGCCTTTCGATGAATCGGCTAGTCTCTTGTCTAGTGTCTCAATCAATCCTTCTTTTGTATCAATCTTTGTTGACACCCAGTTCACTATGTTTTTGTTCTCCCCGAAACATGAATCCACTGGCTTCTTCCCTGTGATGAGCTCCATTAACACTACCCCGAAACTGTACACATCGCATTTGATCGTTGCTTTCGATGAGTATGCATATTCTGCCCATTACCATATATCAATTGGTTAGTAAGGGATAACAAATTGAACTACATTTTACACACACAAGAAACACAATAAAATGAAAAAATTTTGAATTCTTGAAAAAGGATGAAGTTAAAATAAACATTTTTCAAGAAAATTTATCATAAGCAATATTTTCATTGTTTAAAAGCATTGTAATGTTTCATAATAATAAGGTTTAAAGAGCTATTATATATCATTACCTGGAGCCAAGTAACCATATGTGCCAGCCATAACGGTTGTGGTTGAATCTTTCCCTCTAGCTTGTAACACCTTTGCAATGCCAAAGTCAGCAACTTTAGGCTGATAGTTCACATCCAATAAGATGTTTGTCGATTTGATATCGCGATGAATGATTGGTGGCGAGAGGTCATGGTGAAGGTAAGCCAATCCTTGAGCGACCCCAACCGCGATTTGATGACGAGTACGCCACTCGAGATGAACAAAGCCTTTGTGAAGAGCGTCCCATAAGTTACCATTAGGCATGTACTCATACACCAGAAGACTACAATCCAAACTTGAGAAATAGCTGAAGAGTTTCACAATGTTCTTATGGCGAATGCTCCCGAGTGTCTCAACTTCGGTTTTCAACTCCTTGTTTAAATGCATTTTGTCTTCAGAAGCTGAGTCTTTGCTGCTTTGGCTCCATAGTTTCTTCACCGCGACTACTTCTCCGGATTTAAGCTCTACTCTGTAGACCGTACCCGAACCACCGTGACCTACAATGTTCTTGTCGACAAGAGCTTCAAGAATCTCCCTTTGGTCGAAACTAATGCGGTGGAAACTCTTGACGTCGTAAGAGAAGTAAGAAGATGCTAAGGTCTCGTCTTGCTCTATCACTGCTCTGTTTTTGCTCATCCGTTGTCTCAAGTAAAACATGATGACCCCTAAGACAAGGATGAAGACTGAGACAAGAATTGCCCAAATAGAGCTCAGCTTCTTCTTTCCGCGAGGCTCTTGACAAATCGGAAACTTCAAATCCGATGAACGAGCTGTTGGAGGAACACAGAGATCAGGGTTATCCGAAAAGCTTTCTACAAGACCTCCTCTTATTAACGAGACAGGGATGGGACCAGAGAGCCGGTTGCTGGAGAAATTTATCGAGGTTGGGAGCAACTCAGAGAGATCTTCAGGGATTCTTCCGGTAAGGAGATTACTGGACAGGTCAAGAACGTTGAGAGATCTAAGATTAGAAAGCGATTCAGGTATGGAAGAATCAAGATGGTTGCCTTGCAGCACAAGTAAGTTCAGTTTCCTCAGTCTTCCTATCTCTGATGGTATTGGACCAGACAATTGATTGTTACTGAGATCAAGCTTCACAAGATTGGTGGCATGAGAGATCTCGTGAGGTATAACACCGGAGATTTTGTTACCCTGCATAAACAGCTCTGACAAATTCCAAGCGCCTCCAATAGCATTAGGTATTGGACCAAACAAGGAGTTGTAAGCCAAGTCGATGATTGAGACATGAGGCAGAGACATAACTCCTTGTGGTATGGTTCCCACGAGACGGTTGCTCGCAACACGGAACCGTATGAGGGTCTTGCAGTTCCCATAAGTCTCAGGGATTGTACCGGAGAAACGGTTTTGTAGGACAAGATAGTACAAAAGCTTACCGGATTTGCAAACGTGTGCCGGAAGAGGACCGGAGAGGCGATTTTCCGAGACGTCAAGAGCGATCATAGGCGAGGAAGATCCGAGATTTGGCGGGAGTTCACCGGTTAAGTAGTTGTCGTAGAGAGACAAGATTTGCAAGGTTCTTGAGTTGCCAAGTGACTTGGGAATCTGACCAGTCAAGCTGTTGTTGTAAAGCTGAAGCACTCGTAGTTTTGGAAGAGTACAAATTGAATCCGGTATGCTTCCGGTTAACCTGCTAACCGAGATATCGATATCGGTAAGGTTCTTGAGATTACCGATTTCCTCCGGTATATTCCCGGTTAAGTGATAGTTATAGTAAAGCTCAAGCTGCCTTAGGTTGGAAAGATTCCCAATTTCTTTTGGAATCTCACCGTAGAGAAAGTTTCCGCTAAGTTCAAGATCAACAAGAGAACTCAAGTTACCAATGAATCTTGGGATGTTACCATGGAGCATACACGTCATCAGGAGCATGTGTGTGAGCTTCTTGAGCTTAGAAGCAGATTCCGGAAGAGTCCAGAGGTCTAGCTCTGGATTCTCATTGAAGTTGAGATACTCTAGGTCAGTGAGATCAAAGATCGAGAAAGGGAAGCTACCAGAGAAGTAGTTCCAAGACATGTCGATGACTCTTAAAGCTTTCATCGATGAGAAGTCAGGGAGAGTTCCTTGGAGATAAAGAGAGCTCATGTTAAGCTCTCGAAGCAGAGAACAGTTAGGGATGGAGCTGAGGAAGCTACTGCTTCTGTTGAGATGGTTGCGAGAGAGACGAAGGACACGAAGGTTTGGGAAGTAAGAGCAAATCCCATCTGGAAAAACCCCGGAGAGTGACCAACCGGAAAGATCAAGATCGGTTACTAGCCCTTGACCGTCGCATCGTACCCCGGTGAAGTCACAGTAGTAAGCACCAACGTCGTCAGAAACATTCCAAGATGACAAAGCGTCGCCGAAGAGAGAGCTTTTCATAAGCTTGAAGAACTGAGGTTGTTGGTTTGAACTCATCAAGCCCCATGATTGGTTATTGCTGAAGCAAAAGAAGAAGAAGAAGAAGAGAAAAAGTTTGAGACGCATTTCAGAAGAAAGATCAAAAAGTAACCTAGAGAAGCTACCTTAGGTTGCAAGAAAAGAGAGGTTTAATTTTAATGGTTGGGAGAGAAAAAGAGAGATCAGGAAGAAGAGAAGAAGCTTACAAGTTGAAAGACTGAAATTATTGATAGGCTTATAAAAACAAAAGAAGGGTTCATGTTTTTTTGTGTATGTATACAAGATCAGAATCAGATAGATGCATTATAACGTAAAAAGAAAATATATAATATCATTGAAGAGAAAAGGGAACATACATATCTTTCTTTTACATAAAGAAGCTTTATGTTTTATACCCACTAAGTTTATTATAGAGAGAATAACTTAGAGGTGTATGTAGCCAACTTTATACCCTATAGGAAAAAAGCTTTACTTTATAAAATTTGTTTTATTTTTGTGAGAAAAAAAATAAATAAAGAGTTGAAATGTCACTGAATCTGATACTAAAGAGTGCATGATCATCTGTCCAAGAACCTCGCTCTTGTCTCGACATGTTGTTTTTTGCTTGTGCTTTTTTGGATGGACATTGGACATAACCATGCATGTGAGATTACTATATTACATAAAACATCTTCTATTGCCATAAACTATGTTATTTTTATTTCTCTCAATTAGATTTTGAGTTTTCCTGTAAACATATGTTGCATAGAATCGGAAATACGTACATATATATAAGTGTTGCATTTGAAAATGTACAAATAATTTCTTTTAAAATGTCTATTAAATAAAAACTCTAAAATTTGCTATATGAGAATTGGATAACGGATCACATAGAGGTACGTATACATAAACGTTTAAAATGAAGTATATATATTTCTTTTAATTACACTTATAGTATTTTTGTTGGTTTAAAAGTAAATATTATGTACAATTTTGTTTTAATATTGATAATTAAAGTGTATAATGTATGAAACAAATCAAGTAATTAAATCTTTCGTGAAGTGCGAGCATAAACGTTTCTACTTTTCAAAGTAAGTACACTTCCATAATCCATATGGGAGAGAGGACTCAGAGGAATGAGACTATGTACATACAAATGCTGCTTTTCATCGTGAAGATTTTAGAGCATAGTGCATATGAGACTATATATGTACGTCCATATGGAGAGAGGAGATAAATACTTTGTCGAATCGTCGGTATCTTTATAGCTCCATACAATGGTTGTCGTGTGTCGTTCCAACTTGAAGATTGGACATTTGGACTTGAGTCGTCACATTTGTTTACGTAAAATATTTGAATAACCCGGAGATATGCAAGTGTACAACTAGTTTTTTTTTTTTTTTTTTTTTTTTTCGTCCAAGT